ATTGATTACATGTCAGAAATGGATAAAAACCGAAAGAGCCCCAGATGAAAGGCGTTGCAATAAATTAATTTTACATATGGAGTTTAAAAGTTTCACTCGAGATGAATAAAAGCTAATTATAATGGGAATGTCGTGAAATCTGATTTTTTATGGCGGAATAATCGCCCTCTGGTTATGCTCCTCACCGTGAGTTTGTTTCTTTTTTTTTGGGGGGGGGGGGGGTGGGGAGCGATTCCTGATAACTCGAACTTCGGATAACTCGAAACGATTTGCCCGGTCCCTAAAAGTTCGAGTTAACGAGTTTTCACTGTACTTCCCTTCTGGTATTTTATTTCATCTCTCAGGTGAAACCGAAAGGCCGAACTAAGATCACCACATGGAATGAACTGATCGCCTTCATTGGTGAGAACCAGCAGAACAGCCTCATCATCATTCATGTCTATTCGCACAAAAGCAAGAAGAAAATTGAAGCGGAAGATGTCAAGAGAAAAATTGTTGAAAGAATTAGTCATGCGATCTTCCTGGAAGCCGACTTGCATGCGGACTGGATAAAGGACTTCTTCTGGAATTACAATGAGAGGAAAAGGAGTGATTATTGGATTATTGTGATGTCACAAACACCAGCGGATTTGTGGACCATTTGCGACCTTACTTCCAAATGGGGTTGCATCTCAGTGGCGCATCCCCATTCCAAATTTGTTGGGGGTTGCATTGGTATCCCCATAGGGAAAAAACGGCACTGATGGGCGAACCTTGAAGTGGTGAAAAATTGATTCCCCTGACTAGAAGAATAAAATGAAGTAATGAGGAGAAATTTCAATCTTTTATATTCTATATGCAAATGCATGAATAGGCTTGGGTAGCGCCTATTACCTTTCTTGAACCCCTTCCCGTAACAAAATTCCACCTCCTCGTATTCCTCTCGGAGAGAATTAACAGGAAGGAAATTGGGCATTCTTCTTCCTTTCACAGCACAGAATCTCTCCAGCAAATTTGAAGCTCCATCTCGCTTTTGGAAGATGTGAATTTCTTTCCGCTTTTTTTTTCTCCCCCCCCCTTGGGTAGCCACTTGGGAGTTTTCGATGGAAAGAGGTCAACCATGAGAAAGATTTTGACTCGTAGATGATGAAACACCTGACCATTTTGTTGTTTGTGAAGCACCATTTGTCTCCTGACTCCAGAGATTGTCTCCAGAAGAAAGAGAGCGAGTCTCTTCGATTTGTGACACCGCTCTATTCTGTTCTGTTGATTATTACGTTAATATAGAAATGTGAAACCCAACTTTCAATGGCTTCCCCCTTCAACTGCTTCACAAATAGGACGTTTTTTTTATTTATTTTTAAGTATCTCCAACCATTTTTTTAAGTGCCTCAAATATTCTGGTACATGAAATCTTAAATGATTTCGACCGTATTGCAGAAAATCTCATGTAGTAGTTCAATCGCAAAAACTTAAAAAAAATTGAAGTATGAAAAATTTTAGTGAAGAAACTGGTTCTTGATGCTTCTCACCCATTGTTTTCACAGTCACTTTAAAAAAGGAGTAACATGATAATATAAAAAGACATCCTGAACCTACAGTTATTGTCCTGTCACGAATCACGATATTCGATGGCTTTTCGCCGACGCACAGATAAGCCGTAGTTGGGACATCATTACTATATGGTTGGCTCACGGTTGGTTTAAGCCGGCTTATAGTCTAGCATGTCCTGTTAGCCCTTTATTGGGCCAACTTTGGTTCATTGTGAGGAAACTGCACATGCCCCAACCATCGGGCGACTTTTCCCAATAGTGAAAAGGTATTGGAAAAATGCCAACAAAAAAATTGCATCTACAGCTTCATGTATCTTAGAGTGATGAGATTGCACCTTTTGATTTCTTAATGCTCCTTCATCTGGTAGAGATGATGGAGGAAGGACTTATCTGAGTACTTTACACAGGTACACTCCTACCGCCAAGAACATCCCAAACAGCATCCAGGAGCTGCATCACAATGGAACGCAAGAGTATCTGTCCTCTCACAGGAGGTTAGACACACCTTGCACGTAATTGAACACGGAAGATAATACCCGTAAACGAAGATAATATACTCGCGTGGCCGATTGTGGAAAGGAGGATACTCCCACGGACCCTCGGCCGGAAGTTCCTGGTTTATTCCAGAGCAAGGTTACATCTTCGGAGAAACGTTAAAAGCTTAAGCTAACAGAAGGAGACTCTAGATACGCTTTTTGGTATCCCCTGGCTCAGCTTCCCTGTCCCCTGAGTAGAGTCATCATAGGCCCTACACTGAGGGGTAATGCTGGTGAAACCAGTATAGAGTCGCCGGTTTTCGGAACCTTCTCGGCCACATTGGCCCATCTTCTAAAATGGGCCATCTCCCCCAGCAATGGCCCGAAGATAAACCAGCGAACATTTTTGCCTGGGAACAGCCCTCGCCAGTTCACGAAAAAAAAGTTCATTGGGAATAAACGGTTTTGATGAAATTGTTGGAAAAACTCGCTGAAACTGTGTCGATTGGCAGAAACGCGGAAGCGGCGCGACGCCTAAAATCCAAAATGCTGAAAATATCGAGACCGTGGAAGAATTTGTTCCTGTCATCACACTGAAACTCATCGAACGATGAACATGATTAAAGGAAAACTTCATCATGTGGGGTGCTCGTTTGATGTCATATTTGATCCTTCAAATTTGAAAAGTTATTGCCCTTGAAAAAATGAGTGAAATTCTTTCCTACTTCACAAGAATCTTCCTCATTCGCCTGATCCGGCATGTGCCGAAAATCACGAGCTTCGCACGATATCGAAAGGAGATACGTAAGAAAACTAACTGGCCTGCTCCTATTTCTTAAATTAGTGTAGAATGCGGCGACGAGGTTTCTTGAAGCACCGACGTCATCCTGGACGCTACAGCACGGCGTGACGGACCGTGCCGGCGAATCGATGGCATCCGCTCCAGAAGCTTCCTTGCTTCGATGAATCGAACGGGGAGCTGACGCATTCTAAGAGTGGAATGCGAACGAGGAGGCGGTTCGTATCGCGCATGCAAATGCGATGGAACGGATGAATGGCTGGCTGCGGATGGATGGACGGAGGCGATGGAATCGGAACCCGAGAATTCATTCCTTCTCTTTCATAAGGATGTTCGTGTCACGGTGACGGGGCGGCTTCACGGTACGTCGTTAGGTTCAA